ATGCGATACTGGCTTCTATAATTCGTATTCGGTGGAAAAGAGATTTTCTGATGAAATTTTGTTCTCACTGTGAATTTGTATAAAATGTTCTTTTTTCTGAATTGAATTGTGCGTCTTTTAAGAATTCATAGAATTCTATGCCATAGTAGATCGAAACCTTTGTTGCTATTCAGATCAGTGACATTTGTTATATTTCAGTATTTCGAGATCCAGTTAGTCTGCTGCGCATCAATCAGATCGAACTTCAACAATTGGAAGTGAATAGTTCTTGAAAAATTCGTTTTCTCTGACATATCCCGTGGTTGATGTTTGTGTAGTTGCGTTAAAATAGATTTTTCATTAATTAAAGTTTCGAACTTCGTTATGTTGTTCAAGGTATGTTGTTCTTTGTTCTTTGATAATCTCTTTCAGGTAGTTGCGTAAGCAGAAGTTCTCTGGTAAGTGATGTAATCTGTATTCGCAGCATTTCAACATTTGCTTAAAACACCTGTTACTGCATCGCAATGGGAAATATTCCTCTCGCTAACAGGTCTGCCTTTACCTTATTCACCCATTGACCCGGCTGGTTCCGCGTTGCTTTTGACTTATATGCTTTAAGAAAAACGCCTACCTTCACGACTGTGTTGCATACGGAAGCCGGCAGGTGACATGGCTCGCTTACTGTACTAGTCACCAGAACAATATCACCTACTTTAGGTCAGCTGGATATCTTGAACTGCGCCCGCTCTGTAGAATCAGACCTTCGTCCAGGATCAGGACTATTTCAGAGAAGAAAGTCGATAACAATTTTGAATAGCAAAGGCGAAACCACATCCATTACGAACTCCACAGTTAATAGGGAGTTACGTACTTCGCTGTTCAAATTTGACAACGAAGACTATATAATAGTTGAAACTAGTTCATTAATGCTGACCTGCACATGACGAGGAATGTGGTCTTTGCCGCAGCAGGCAAGTCATTGTCTAATATCAATCGGTATTGCCAATTCAAATAGTCAGACCAAAAATTTAAGATACTTTTGCTGTACGAACTCTCTTAACTTATGGTTACGGTGACAAAATAACAGTAAATATTCCACACTTTTATTCTCATAGAAAACGTTTCTAGGTATGCACTTGATGAAAGGAGGCCTGGAGACTTCCTACATTTTCCCTTTCATCGCAGACTTCCTTCACCTTGACGTGTAGCAAGCATTTTGGATTTTCATTTTTGACAGGGGTCCATGCACTAAATGCAAGTGTTGGCAGAAAACTAACGGTCAGAAATCTGCAGGTTAGCTGTTCATCTGCTGGGGTAGGGTAACGAAACGAATATGTAGGGTAACTGTTCATCGTCTGCTGCAAATGCTCAAACCATCTTCAGATGCATTCCTTCGGACCTACCAATTCAGTGAGGCAAAGTTATGTCAGATATTAACGAGTTGGTATTCCATGTGTTATAATTATATATATTCCAAGCCATTAACGTACTGTTAGTAAGTTAGCAAATTTCAATGACTGCCAATGCTTTCGAGTCGCTTAGCAAGACCCGTCAGAAGCATGTCCAACGTATCAGATCCTGTGCCAGCTTTAGATCTTTGGCAGAAAACAATTCGGGTCTATACTACAGTCCATGAATTATTTTTCTCAAATTATTTGAAGCCATATCCGGTGTCTTGGGCCAGTCGGATGAGCCGGTAGTAGTTGTGTCGCACTCCATTCTGGAAACATTCGAAGGATGTGCCGAAGATTCTGACATACCTTGCCGTTACTTTTCAGTTTGCAGAAGCAGCCAGTCAAAACTAATTGTTTCTCAGATATGTGCACTCTGGGCTACTTTCAAACGAGCACTTCGGGTCAGAAAGCCAGTTTCCTCCGCTGCTACTCGAAATCGAAGATTCTCAGTGAGAGGCATATGACATATTACAGTGAAATACGACTTGAATACAAACAACTTAATTTTCAATCTCAGTTGTTCGTCAGCCACAACGGACATGGCTTGTTGTACATTAGTTGACAAATTTATACCTCGAATAAGCATTTTTTCTTTAAAAATTTGGTTTTTACGTTAAACATGAAATTTTTGATCATTTTTCTCTTATATTATTTCACTTATCTTTTTCTCTGTAGTTAGCTGTTCATGAATCTGATATTCCTCGCAAGCTTTTCTTCCGAAACGCCATATTCATTTTCTTGTTGACGTAATGAATTCCAAGATTGCTCTTGCTTCAGTATGGATTCTTAGAAGTTCCCACACGCCGAGCAGAATCTTGTCAGGCCATTTTATCCTTGACAGTTTTTATCCAGTTTCCGCTATTTCTTCTACGTACATCTGCCATCCCATCGCTGTTCGCCCGAGAGGTCATTTTCTTTCCCTCAGGAACCATTCGACAATGCGCAAGGTCCATCGGTTATCAACAAGACATGGCTTGCCCAACGGATCTTGCTCTCTCTCTCTCTCTCTCTCTCTCTCTCATGGCTCGCATAATGTCTTGTACGCATTCATTTTGCGGATAGTTTTGTTGTCAATGCGGTCATGAAGAGATATTCTAAGCATCCTTCGTTCCATTGCTCTCTCTGTCACAGCCTGTATATTTTCTTCTGCCTTCGTAGGTGCCAACGTTTGTCGTCCATACGTCACTGTCTTCAACGTTACGCTGATGGTACTTTGATGACATCCATGATTGCATGGAATTTACGCCATTAGGCAGCCAATAGACGTATAATCTCCGGTTGGAGATCATGGCGAATATTCAATTCCCGGATCAAGTAGACAGAGTTCTTGAGATCTTTCAAATCTGCGCCGTCCACCTGTAAATTTGCCTTGGGCATGCCGACACTTTGTATCCCCATTTACGTTGCGTTGAATTTAAGACTCACCTCATTACTTCGTTCGTAGAGTTCTAGCA